TGGATTTACACTGGTTTCTTTCTCTATGCAGTAAATGACAACATCACGCTAGAAAATGTTCTTTAATGAATGCATTCTGTTTGATGCGCAAACAACGGTTTTTTGGACCCATTTAGAAATTAGAGGCAAGCATAGCCTTTTGTATTCTTTAGGCTAAATGCTATAGGATTGAGTATTAGCATGGACTTGAGGCGTTGAGGCTAATGAAAAGCTTTTTTTAAACGCCAGTCCGTGAACTTAAGAATAGCGAATCCTGCTCCCACTTTATATGGCTTACATATTCAACGGGAGACTAAGTATTAAATAATTGTCTCGCAAATGACATTAAGGCGAACGGGCACATCAATGTGTCAAGAACTTAGGCAGTCTTCAAACTCCAACGAGCAACTGCAGAATGCGAATATGTTTCCTGTCTTCTTCTTCGTTTTGACTTGAGCAAGAGGAAAGTGTTGTATAACAGTGATTACCAAATCAATTTCGATTAGACAAAAGCAACCTGTCGCCGTGTCATATGTTCATTCTAGAGCTTGAAATTTACTAAAAAGTATGGTAAACCCGCATGCCATCCTCAAGGTACTACAGAAACGTGCTACAGAATGTCACTTTAGTCGGCTTTGGTTATAACAACGGCATTTTTATCACGTAAAAGCAGCATTCGTTGCTGTCACATGACTACGTTATTTTCGGGTCCTGTCGCTCTCTCTGCACCAGGTAATGCTTGATTAGCAACCGTAAATATACCAGAAGTAAGCATTCCAATGTCATTTGTCACTGTCGGTAATAAGGCTCTAAACGTACCTCCGCAGTAAAAGATCTTACCAAGCTGTCCCTAGTAATTCACTTATCGGCCTGATTGCTTATTTATCGCATTTTGACTGAAATAGGCAGAATCCCGATTTTTTTGGATTCCTCACATTTATTTTCACAAGAGTTCCGGTAGCTGGGATTTGTAGAAGAGGAACCAAAAAATCTAAATTAGTCAATACTCTGCAGAGGCCGATTTTCTTGAGCTATTGTGCCGTTACAAAAGCTTAAGACGTTTGGAAAACATTAAACCGGTCAGATGTTTCAAACAAATTAGAGGAAACGTTTTACTGGAAAGGATTAATTTAGAAATGCAAACTTGCTTTTAGCACACAGCGCAGGCATAAGACTTTTCCGCTCTTAGGTATTCTAAGTATTGTCTACAGATTGCTTTGCAGTAAATTAGATTTCGGTGGGTTTAGAGAATCCGTCGGATACACAGGCAGAAAAGCGAATAGGAATATTCATACTAACCTTCTCTTGATGTTTAACGACGAAGGTATGTCTATATTTCCAGTTAAAACAATTCAGATTGTCTTCTCCCACCTTACAGCTGAAAGCAGTCGACAGAGATGTGGACGCTGTACTGACTTATTCAAGCATTCTGGAACCGGGATCAATGAACCAGTCCATACCATTTCAAGTGGAGCCAGACGGGCGAGTGCGACTGCGGGAACCGGTGGACTATGAAAAGCGTGCTGAATATGACATCCCAGTTCGTGCCACTGATGGCGAATTTGTCGCCTCAGCTCGACTACATGTGATTGTTTTGGACATTAATGATGAACCACCAAAGTTCACTGTGAATCCGACAAACATATCCGTGGAGGAGAATCTGCCCCCCAACATACTCGTTGGACAGGTGAGAATCAAGGCATAATTGACATTTTTTAAATGGTTTTAATGGGTTCGTCAAATGCTATGCTCTATATCCAACTGACTTCGTCATAGTGCAGGTGGTGACTGCGTTCTGACCATTTGAAATAACAGTTAGTTTAATTATCTTAAAATGGCAGCTTATTATGGAGAACACAACTTGTGCATCTCGCCAGGCTTTATGCATAAATGCTGACAAATATATTAACTTTCTCAAGGGAGCATGTTACTGTAAATTTTAACCAATCCAGAACCGAACTTCTCAGTTAGTTCAAATGTCAAAAAGTATTTATTTTCTGATATTGATCACGTTGGCTACATTCCAGTGCAGTGTTCATACATGGAATTGGTGCAACAAACGAAGACAGCTCCGAAGGGTTATTTTTTGATGGCTTCGGAGAAATGAAATGAGATTAGGAAGTCACTGCGAATGGCTAACATTACAGGAATTTGGTTGTGACAGTCTAATCAAATATTTTCGGACTGAGTTGCCAGAGTCACATGGATTTTATCATTTCGTGCAGTTGTGTGAGGGCTTACCCGGTCACATGTTTATTTATTTAACAGTAGATGCAATCGAACGAATTGGAGGTAAATGTCCGTTTACTCGTACTTTATTTCGACGAGATTTTATCTTTTCGTAGAACTCGGGCCCTGAGGATGGCAAAAGCCATTAATTATCTGCTTCACCTCAGTTAAGTTGTCCGGTGAACTGAAAACAAGGACATGCGGTTGTCTATGGGAAACATGCTCACAGGGTTCTTAGTATCAGGTCCTATGGCAAGACAACATTCAAGTACTTCATCATAATCAGAAGGCCTCCGGCAGGGTTCACTAAATGCCCATTTGCGCTCGACAAACGTTGTCTATGTGCAATCACAAGTTGATCCTGCTAGACGGAGGAGACTTTGTCCTTTATTCAGATGCGTGGGTAAGCAGGGAGTAATTCTGCAAAGATCTCCACAGGGCCTGCAAGAGAAACCAACTGAAAATACCTGCTCTTCAAACTTAACAAAGAGAGTCAGTAGGAGGAATGGAGCAATAATTAGTTACAAATACAAGGAATTCTTTATATGCCTGTACTTTCCATCACCAAGCAAGAACATAAGATAGAAGATCAGGGAGAATGCAGCCGTCAGAGAAACTCCACTAGAAGGAAAACAAAATGATCGGTTAACTCAAAGAAGGATCGAAAACAGAACGGGGAAGGACAACATAAAAAAGATTGTTCAAAGTAAGAAAGATAAGTAGAAATGGAAAACGCAACAATCTGTGATGGAAACGGATACTTCCATGTTCCCGATTGCATCTATAAAGGGGAAACAAAGGAGATGAGGCAAACATGTATACGTTAGTTTCAGGTACAATGAAAGAAAGCAGGCTGAAAAATATACAGAGGCTTGGGCTGCATAAATGAATAAGGTGGGAAAATGACTCACATTTTAATATGATTCTTTAGCTGTCAGGCAAAGCTGAGCTGGCTCTTTTAAAACACACGGAGACTCTTGACAGATTCTTGAAAGAACTTGTCCGGTGCTGATTTATCAGCGAAAAATAGGAGTCTGTGTAACCCTTATCTTTACGCGCAATATGAGGAATATAACAGCCTTTTTCCTGAGGTTTCAGATGTGGCATAGATGAAAATTGAAAGATATAAATCACTTTATGCGTTTCGATTAGGTCAGTGCAGGGAGAACTATGCTAGTGAGTAAAGAGAGTGGGTCCTTAAAGTTGACATACAACTGACGGACGACATAACTGAGAAAAATGTTATTTCACGAATTCGGATGTATTTCTTAGTGAGAGCTTCTAACGAGGAAAACTTCAGTGCATGTCTGTAAATCAGCAGTCAAGTATTACGCCAAATACGATAAAATGGTGGTAAATATAATTTCAAGGCCAGCGTTAGTAATAGCTTACGAATTTATCCACCTTAAGAGGGTTCTGAGCAATTTAAGTTCCAAACTGAAGTTCAGATCATTGAGTAAAAAGCTGTTTGTCCACGCATTTACATTGATATTCCGTTCACAAACACGGATGCTAAAAAGGCGATAATTTCGAATGAAGAGGTCTATCTATCTGACGCAGGATCGTAAGTTGGTCAAAAACCAAGTAAACAGTTATTGACAGTTAGCACCGGTAATTCTTTCATGAAAAGCAGAATCAGTAATGCTCTATTGCGGAGCCTTACGAAATGCTACCGTAAAGTGACCTTTGAAAATTTACTGTATTTCGAAATCTCACTCTAGAATTCCATTTTTAGTTTCCCATTAAGATATAGGCTTTCAACAAAATTTGTTGTAACATATGTTTTATTTCACCGTCAGAGGTCTTAATTAGATAAGATGTAACGGTAAGATGTGACCATTTCTTCTGCAAGCAGGAGACGTGCCATGCACGATTATTCCGTTTATAACGCTATGCAGATGGAGGTGAGGATACTGTGTGTACTGATTTCTCTCATTTTGCATGTGCCACTCTTGAGGCTAATCGAACGATACTTTGTCGCAAGCCATTTCAATCTGTGTTAAACAGGGGGCGGGTGGGTTCTGACTACACTCCCCTGGGAGTAAACCTAACCTGGGGCTAGCTTTGAATGGGCAGTGGCCATCATCGCAACTCGGAGAATTAAAAGCGCCTGCGGCAGGAAATCTGGTTTTTGGTGTGGAGCAGGACGAAATAGGCATAAACTCCGCCGATTAAACTGCTATTCATCATACACGGAGTTTTATTCCGAGTGCAAGTGAGAATGAGCCCGCTGCATCGCGTATACGCCGATTGTGTAGGTGATAAAAGTTTATTTCAGTGATGATTCCGATTCTATGCTTCAATGTGTCTTCTAACTAAAGAAGTTATATGGTCTTCTATACCTCCAATAATTTTGCCCGGTCGGTGTGTTTGGAAAGTCATATCCACTAGAGTTTCAACGCATACTCCAGAGGATAACCTAATATGTTGACGTCGTGTTGATGCTATTAAGCAGTTGAGTTTCAAACCGAATAAATTTTGGCATGAACACTTTTATCAGTAAAGAAATGGTGTGCACTGATGTGAACTTTTTTATAATAAACTGTTGAGCCTAATCATAGAAGAAAATATAGCTTAATGTCCCAAAAACCTTTTGAATCTGTGAATATCTGATTAAATTAAATTCCCTGAGCAAAGTTACGAAACTTGACATCAAACAAATCTTCAAGGAGTGAAGTGAATGTACGCTTTAGATTATTAGTTATCGGGCAATTACATTAGTCTAAGGAAGGGTGGAATGGCAAAAATTTAAGCAGGAACTCAGCAGTACAGTGGTCGCCGTTGACCACGTAATTTTCCTTAATTTGTATAAG